GGCAGATCGGGTGTACTTCGTTAGTCTCAAGTCGCAAAGTGAGAGGCGTTGCCAGCGTGGTCATTCGCTGCAGGACCTTATCGAATGAACGCGGCAAATGCGTTGTGGCAAGTCATCTAGTTGGGATACACTATAGTTGGCGCACGCAATGCTGCAAATTGGTACTAACGATGTACACCCAGGCCAATCAACATGTCTGTGGAAAGTGCTGTTCTGCAATCGGCAACTTCTTAGTTTGCAAAGTCCTTTTATTACTTGAGGTTAATGTTCCATATTTCGAGCTTGCATTTGGGAGATTTCAATATTCCCCGTGGCTAGGCGTACTTAATCATCTCTAAGTGTAATATATGCATTTTCATTGCTTCATAATATAAGTGCCTGGATTTCATTGCCGTTTCTACGTCTCTTAAGTGCTATACTTCATCGGCACGCGGTTGCACGACGAAAAGGTCCCTCATTCTTCAAAACTGCCTTGGAAGGGTTCAGATGACCAGAGCGGGCGCGGCGTTCACCAAATGCACCTGCCTATCCCCCGCCGCGCCATTTTCGTCGGCCCGTGGAATGATTTAATAATACGAATATGTCTCATTCCGTTCAAAAAAAGGAGATCAGTGCTAAATTAGTAGGGCGGGGGGAGGGCTGGGAAGGCACTCATGGCTTTGTAGCTTCCCTTCTTTGTCTTGCCTTGCCAATGTAGGTCGATCCATTACTTAAACCAAGATGAAGAGCGACCTGGACGAGTGTTCGGTACAAATGAAGAGTTGCAGAGGCGAGATGGAGGTGGCAACTACGGTCAGTAGCGCCGCACTAGCAGTGTGACAGTTGAGACAGTGCGCCATTCTACACCCCATCCCCCCCCCCCCCTTTGAAAGTATAGTCGCGCCGCGCGTACCCCCCTCCTCTCCCCTACGAACTATGTTAGCACCGAAACATTGAAGAAACCGGTGGATGGATATGTCGACTTTTATTTCTCTTAAGAATCGTTTTGTGGAAATCAAACTAATATGTGCCTGAACATAAAAATAGCTCCATCATTATTGTTAGAGTAACTTGAGTTGAACAGTTACTTCACTCTTTTTTTTAATTGTTCACCTACGCGGTACCTGACGAAACAGTGAGAATGATGTGTGGGACTAATTGTTGTTCTGTTTACTTATGTATGTACTTATAGCTTTGCTTGTAAATAAATATGCATAATAATTCGTTGCAATATTTGCTGGGTGTTGGAGTATCTTGTAAGACATCCAGAGTGTATTTTGATGTTAACGTTCGGAGTTTTCAACGATGCCAACTTGTTCTTTTTTTGGTCGATCTGCTGCTCTGAATTTTTTGTAGTTCCTCTATTTGATGGGAAAGTCTGGCTAGGGAGTGCGAGCAGGGCTATTGAGTTATAGACAGGCCAAAGATGGACTTCGAATATATTCCGACGAGCGTCCGAGGACCAGGAAGTGATCCGAATGACTGGGAGTTGTTAGCTGGATGTGATTGTACGGGTGAATGCTCTGCAGAGCAGAATTGTGCCTGTCTTTTGGGTGCAGAGGTTAGCTGACTATTATTTTCCGGATACTGTTCGACTTGGAGGAGGCATATTAAATAAACAAGTATCACTTAGAGAGGCCTGTAAACTCTTGTGGAATTGCGAATTTGAGTGAGCCACTTTGGTCACAGGGATTTTGAGAGACGGGCTCCAGCAGGTGGCCTGTGCAAGTGTAGATAAGATAATTCAGGAAATTACCATGACGTTCCCCCACCAAGCCCAACTGCCCTTTTTTTGTTTTCTGTACTCAGGAAGATGCGGTTGCAAAAATTTGCGAAAATGTTCATCACCGAGGATGCATCATTGTTGAGGAATGCACACCAAGGGTAGTCGTGTTCATGCCTGGGAGGGGTCTGGTAGGAATAGTTTTTATCGCTGCTTTTTGCTGTTCCAGGGCACCGTTGGACGGGATCGTGGAGAGTCGCATAGAAAAAAAATTACCACATTTTATGATCAGGTCCCGTCGTACGTTGGAGATCCCCCGGCAGGGAAGGGAGTTGTATACGAGAGAAGTCTTCCGCTTGCTGACTTTTTTGTGTTTTTTCCTGTTGAAGTGCGCGATATATCTCCCTGTTCCTGCTCCTGCTCTGAGTAGTTTTTTGCGGGAATATTGGGAAATTCTAAAATTCTGGAGGAAAACTTCGGAGAAAGTGGTGGTACATTGGAAAAATGAGGAGGTAGGAGGAAGGAAAATCTAGGAGTTAGGAAGACGATGCGGAGGATGGGGATGGTGAAGAGAGGTTTCGTATCAGGAGATTCTGGGGTGAACCTATTTTTCAAAACTCCTCTCCAACGGCAAGACGTTCCCTGCCAATGATGTATCACGTAGGGTGTATAATCGTAGTGGAACCCACAAGGGGAGGGGTCGTATTCGGTCACCAGGAGTCGCAATGGCAATCAAAGAATCGCGCGTTTGTCCAAATTGATGAGTGGGGCTACGTTTATTGACTCAGTTGTGTCAGTTCAGGAATTGTAGGATAACTACTCGAGCGATGGTATCCTACTTGAGAAGGCGAGTGGTGCACCGATTTAAGTCCATGACGATATGTCGGTGTTTCCCAACTGCTTAACAGCTCCCCGTTCGTAATCGTGTCTCCAGCGAGGAATCCAGTGGCCCTAAAGTAGGAACGAGTCATTCTTACTGGAAAAGCGGGCTCAAAGGCCATCAAGCTGATAGGGTAATCGTGCTCAAGTGTTCCAAGTAGGTAGAACGACATGAATGGTGTAAATGAAATTGATTCATAAACACCGTCACCTACATGGTTGGCCTCTAGATCGTCAGTCGGCAAAGTCAGACATTCGGCGACGCGTTTCATGATACCACTTTCTCCAAAAAGCCAAAGCTCAGGCGTCGCCGATGGCCTTAAGATATTACGCCGGAAAGTCCTGTCCAGTTTTTGATTATCTCACAGCTTTCATCATTTTCCGGAGCTTCTTCTCGCAAGGGTTATATGAACTAGCCTGGTTTTCCCTGAGTCTAATTGCGATGCCAGTTTCACAGGAGCAGCTTCGAGTCATCATCTTCATTGAGTGACTCCGCGGCAGCGACGGTAGCTGTCCGCAACATCAGCATTGCATTGCGAGAAGATTCCAATTCCACTAGGACCGTCCATCGTCGGTTTGCTCGCTTCGCGAAAGGAGACACGATCTTCGCAGACAAACCTCTGTTGGACGCCCCCCCCCCCCAAAGCAAAAGACTCTCCCCTTATCGAATCTGTCGAGGCACGGAGCCGGTATGGTACCACCCGCAGTCTTGCGACAATTCTCGGGTGTACCTGAGCCCTTGGTTATCGAAAAGTGCTGGCTCGATGGATCGCTCATACCATGACATACACGGTCGCCACACCTGGCCCTACTGACGCCGACGACTCGACACCGTGGTAACCGCGGCTCCCCGCGTCATGCGCTCACCACACCCTTCCGCTGCCGCTATCCACCCGCACAGGAAGGGTGGACCTAACCCCCCGGGGACCATGGGGTTTATCTACGGCGGGACACCTTACCGACCCCTCAACCGTCCACGGCGTCTCCACCGTACCGTGCCGCACGAGACCGCCGTCCTTCAAGTCTACCACGGCCTCCACCGTACCGCGCCGCACGAGGCCGTGGCCCTACCCCCGTATATCTACCACCATGGTACCACCATGGCAACAACACCCGCACAAAGTAACACATAGTAATACAGTAAACATCTATGGTAAATACCATTATGATAACAAACAAAACACTTAATAATCTACATCATTTATTAACGAACTACTCACCGTACTACAAGGATTGTTCTCCCCTGGCCGCCGTTCTCCATGGGTTTCGTTCCATAGCCGACCACGCATTAGGCCCCCATGGCCGTTGCCCCTCTGAGTACGCATTAGGCCCGTAGGCTACATCCCCTCATACGTATTAGGCCCCCATCCTGCCGGCGGTAACCCTCATCGCTCCATGCGGTCGTCGATGTCCTTGTCGGGGCTGGAGCAGAGGCTGCTCCCAGTCGGGGAGCAGGGGATGGACATCGGCCGGCTCATGGCCGGCGCTCGAGCTGCCCCCGGCTTCGGAGTGGGCTTCACCCCTCCGCCTTGGGCCCCCCGCGGTACCGTGAAAACCAACCGGCGCCGGCTGCCAGCCACTGGACGTACTACACTGGCTACGACCGCAGGGGGCGGAACCACGGCGCACGTGAAGCGCACGCCGTGGGAACGACGCGATAGCCGCGCAGGGTCGCCAACTGGCCCGACCGTCGCATCCGCGACAAGCACCCTGTGCACCTGGGTACCCCTTGGTCAGTCTCAACCCCTCCGCCCTCGTCAAAAGGAGTTACCAAGATGCTAATGGACTGAGAAAAAGCGTCCCGTTCAATCATACATACATACGTGATGTCTTTCTCTTAGAAGAGCTTTCCCTAGCAGCACCCAACGGCATGCCCAATCCGCAAATATTCTGCTGTGCTGCTTCTGGGACGCGAGGGGCACAACGAGCTGCCCTGTAAGAACACGAGGTCACAGCTACCATTTCTGCTGCTCAGCACCAGAAACCCGTAAAACAGTTGGGTCGTGACCATACCTCACTTAAAAAATTTGACGACAGCCAGACAATGTCTCGTCCTGTTGCACGCGCCAGCTCCGCTGCCTCCCTCTTCTGGGAAAGGGAATCCTCACCGCCCAGTAGGTGCGACCACTTGCAGTAGATAACAATAGCGAGTATATTGTTGATTAATTTCTATCCTATGTTGAGCTAGAAATTAGAAACGAAAAAAATCGCAACAGTAACAGGACTTTCTTTCCAGCCTTATAGTTTCGTAGAGAATATCGTTAGCGTTAGCTCCCCTGATTCAAGTGAAACCCAGGATGAAATCTCATGTACAATCCAAGATACTCGAAAATCTTATGAGAAGAGGGTTTGGTTATGATATTCCTTTGTTGTCCTTGCATAATATTCAGCCTGTCCCGCTCAAAGGATTTGGCGTTCGGGCACTGCGAGAGATTCCAAAAGGAGTGTTCATTTGTGAATATGCTGGAGAAGTTTTGAATAAAGACGAAGTCGAACGGAGAGCAGTTTCCACTCATGATCATAACTATACTTTAACTATCAGAGAACATGGAGAAGGTATTTTTTTTCAGTCGTATTTGAAGCACTATTGGCTATGACGAATAGCTTGTAGAATTTGGAGAGTCGACACTTTTTTTAATCGATGTTCATTGCCTTTAGAGGTATTGTTGACTAGCGGGGGGCTTCTTTTGATGCCGCGGACATCGGAGGCAACTTGTGCGTCGGCTTCTCGATTAATGCACGCTTCCCCGAATCCCAATCTTTCTATTGCTGATTGTACGGAATGGTGGTATGAACGTGTTGCGGCACGTGGGGTCGTTGTTTCAAAACAGGTACACATTATTCTAGTTCAGCCATATATTGCTACTCTCTTAAACTAGAGAACTTATGCAAAACTCAGGTATCTTTCCATTATTTGAAGCAGAAAAGGCGAGCTCGTGGTGATGACAGTGGCCCGATCACCACGCACCCACCCATTCACGTGCCCTGTGTAAACTGTACATCGGCTTCGCTAAGAACCAACCAAGCCGTTACCCTCCCGGGATGGTAAATTGGCAGCAGATTTTTCTGAGAATATTATGAACACCTGTTTACGATTACCTTCTCGAGAAGAGGTACACTCTAGTTTGCTGCGGGCGGCTGGGCGTGTCAGGCAGACGAGTGTGTTTTCTCTGCCTTCTTGTTAAAGCGCGCATGCGACGAAAAGTGGTAGAAAACGAGTAATACGAACGATATGATACAGTCATATCATTTGCTCGCTTCAACAACTGGTGGAGAACGGGTTTGGCACCGCGCCAAACTCATCCCGCCTGACACGCCCAACCGTCCGCAGCGAATCTACACTATGTATCAGTGGGCGGACGCTTACTCATGGATCCCAAATCGCTTATAACGAAACCGTCTTTTTATTTAGGGTAATCCAAGCAGGAGAAGAAATTTGCTATGATTATGGTACATCGGCGTTGTCGTTAGAAAGCGGAAAAGAATGTCTCTGCGGATTCCCATCTTGTAGAAAGTTTCTGCCAATGTCAACTACCGCCTCTGAATGAAAGGATTGAGTCTCTATTCGCCTTTATTTTCATGCAATAAACAGTTTTCAATAATTGTTCCAATGAAGTATTGGTGGTATTGTAGACCACTTCATATTTTTACTCTGTTGTAACTGAATATTTAACATTGAAATGTTACTCATGTTTTGAACCGATTAGGTTCTAAATATAAACCATGGGTCGACATAAGAGAATCCCGACGAAGAATCGAAAGAAACTGAAATCAGTTGATCCATTCAACAAGAAGGCACCGGCTCTGAAGGCGGAGGCAATGAGGTTTTTATGTCCTTCAGTTTTGTTTAGTTAGAAGAATATCTTCAAATATGCTAACGAGGCGCTATTCTAGTGAAGGGGCAACTGAAGAACTTGTGCATAATTTTCCGTAGTACAGAGGCCGCTGCACGAAGAAAATGGTTCGCCTATCTGGAAGCTTCTCCCTCTTCATTCATGGGAAAAACCTGTGAAGAGTCCTGACCCCCCCCCCTTACGCAGGTTTCTCACTGCTCTTCTGACTACTTCACTGGAATAGTGCCAGCAGGAGTTCTGCTATAATATGTTGCTTTTAAGCAAAATAAATTGGGAGCCAAAGGATGATGTGCAGCCGGTACCTCGTTCGTTGTTGGAGTTGCAGGTAGGTGCTAATCAAGAGGTGCTACTGTAGTTGAGGAAGATTGTACCCCATCAAGTACCACGCGTCTCGAAACAGGCTTGTGGGCCTGATCGCAGAGCTTCTCTAGAAAGTCTCAAGCCTCTAGCCTTCTCCTCAGTTAAGTATCGTTGTGGAAGGTGAAGTATCTACAGACTTTTTTTTTCGAGCGAGTAGGAGGAGGCAGGTCACCGACAAAAGGAATGAAGATTAGCGGAAACAGGCGTAAAAGCAAGGTTTGGTAAGATGGAAGCTTAGTGGCTGTTTGAATGCTCGATCATTCTGATGGTGAATATAAGAAACCTGTCCGGCTTAACGAGCAACGTCTTGCTCATAAATTGGCAATCAAAAACTAAACCTGTGCGGAAGATACTTCACTCTAGGCTACGTTCTTTTCGTCGTCCGTCGTTTTGCGCGAAAAGGAAGGTATAAGTAGCGATCTAGCGTTGTGAGCTTTTCGAGCGAACGGGAAATCGTGGATATTGACCGGCGCTCGAAACCCTCGGAACCTTCAAAAAGCGCTGGCGTTTCTACGAGAAAGCTAGACTGAGGCTAAATTTTCCTTTCCTCCCGGAATGCTCAAAACGTTCGAAACGCTAGCGAAAAGTATGAACGCAGCCTTGTGGTCAAGTGATTGAATTTTCCTGCCTCATTTCAGCAGAAGCAGAGAAGATCGGTATTCGGAAAGGTCGTTTCGAAACTATTCCACACTTTGTGCGTCGCGTCGAACGAATGACCTACGCTGCCGTAAAGGATCACGAAATGTTGGTCGGTGACTTTCTTTCATTTGTACCCTCATTTGGGATTTGAGATATAGAAATTGAACTGAGGTGAAAATCTGGCTCGTCCTAGTTCAGTGGTTTCAGGAGCTGACCTTCTTGGGGAAATTTATAGTCCACGCGTTGAGAGCGCTTGATCTTGACCTCCTTTGGATGAACAACATCTTTTAGTGGTGCCATTTTTTGTAAATTTTGAGCAAGCATAGTTTTTTGACACTTGTGGTTTCCCATGCCACTGCTACACATTCAGGTCAAGCAAGGCTTGGCAGGACGAGATGAATCAGAAATCGCGGCTGATTTCAAGCTGTTGGAAGAAAAGGAGAAAAGAAGAAAAGAGCAAAAGAAAAACGAGATTCAAAACAAGATAAAAGCGGCTCGAGAGAAACGAGAACGTGAGGCTAAAATAAAAGAGGTATGAGATTCAGGATATGCGGTAATTCTGATATGAACTTCAACCATGTTTCCATTTGCAGGAAAGACTAAAAGAGAAAGAAGAGAGGAAAACTAAACGAAAAGCAGAAGCTCTCGGAGATCAGGATATGGTTGAAGTAACACTGGAGAAAGATGAAGTACGTTTTTACTTTCATGGTTAGCTCTTCTGCTGGAATTGGCTTCTTTCTACGATTTTCGGCCAAGATTTACATTTTACTAGTTCCCTTTATAAAAACTTGTTAGGCTTTCAATGGCTCTTAGCGACGTTTGCACAGATCAACTGAAAAACTGAATTTGTGAAAACTTTTTCAAAGCTAATAGAGCCATTACATGGTGGAGCTCTGTTCGAAAATTCACAAGAGTTCAGAGGATCGGGGGGGGGGTGA